AGCGGTGCAGCACATGGATTTGTAAACTCGTATGTGCGGGATCATGTGCGACTCCTACCTCTGCGTGGAGTTTTCTGCGGGTAAACCGGTTTCCTCCAAAACGAAATCGAACAACTCTGAGAAAGGAAATGTCAAACACCGCAATGCAGAATGCTTTGGACTTCATCATGTTGGTGATGCTGCTGCATTCGCAGTGGTGCACAAGTTACAAATACCATTCCGTCTTGAGGCTCGGTCAAACTTTCCCAGGTAAATAATACTTTTATTGATATTGTTTTGTTATAGTTTAAAGCATCGTGTCATGGTAAGGGGAAGGGTTGACGGAGGGGGCGGGAGCCGAGCCATGCGGCACCGCTTCGGGACGTTCCAGGAGCGAGGCGGCGCTGCTCGCAAAGCTCCGCGTGAAGGCAGCAAAGAGACGCGTGGGCGGATCCGATAGCCTCGTTAAAGTGCCAACACGTTTAGAATCACTCAGTGCATTTACATTAAGGCATGTGTGCAGCGTGAATTAATCACAGTGATGAGTGCATCGACTTATTGCAAACGAGCCATGAACGCAACTAAATAATTAATCATTTAATCAATGATTCGATTAATTAATTAATTAATTGCTTAATTGATTAATTCCCCTGCCGCCGCCGCCAGGCGCTGTGCCGCCCGGCCTCTGCACGAGCGCAACCTCAGCCGCTGTTTGGCGTTTAATCAGAGGGCAAGTTGAGTGAATCGATAACCCGAGATAGTTAGGCAAGTGGGCTTATTGCCATGTTCATGAGCTAAGGGTCGGAGAATCGGCTCTGGAGCAACTACGCGTTCATCGTTTCGCCGACGGGTGAGGGTTTATCTCGGCACAAGTAAAACCCTTTGAGCAATACATGCGCCTTTTCTATGGGGTACCGAGTTACACCATAGAAGCTTGGTCATAGAAAAAATACGAACAAACCAATCCACAAACAACTGTAGATGGCCGGCCAATTTCCGAATGACACAGTTGGGCGTCACATGGTACAATTAGGATAAAGTATACAAGGCTGGAAGAGCATACACTACATACACATTTTGTTTTATAACTTAGAGTCTGCAAAGCAAAGCGATCAGTTTCACATACACATGAAAGTTAATTTGAGGTCAAACAGTGATTTAAAGAGGAACACGAATGATAAGGTTTTGATCCTAAACATGTTCTTTTGGTTATTCGAGAGCAGTGGTTCTAAAACTTGTTTGGCTACTGTACCGCTCGTTGAATTTTGTTTCAACCGAGTACCCCTTGCCTGACACCACATGGTTCTGAGAAATTTATATATGAATAATGAACATCAATATTTTAACCAATTGTCCATTTTGTGAGGTATTCTAACTAGCTCGTAACTGCAAACGAATAAAACATTCAACGGATGCTGCATGCGTCATGCGATTTGTTCCCGCTCACTGGTTACTCTTGGAAACCACATTGAGATCAATGAGTTTAGAAAGGTATTTTATATCGTTATTGGCCACTATATGGATTTTAATGTTATCGTAATTTTTCTTGCTAGATTCACATAATTATTCACCAATGACTCTCATGTGTAATATGTCACATGTATAAATCACCTCACATACTCCCTCGAGAGATTGGAACGTACCCCCAGGGGTCGGCATATCCCCGGTTGAGAACCAATGCTCTAGAGGAGACACCACACAGAATGATTTTAAACCAAGCTTAGCTCTCACATAGAGGGTGACTTTGAGCAGGAACTTGCAGCAGGGAGAGGCTTCTATGAATATGGACTCCTAAGAATACGACTTGTACGAATATAAATTTTATTCTCTGCTTTCAGAGTGAGCAAGACGGTTAGAATCCGACGGTGGCAGTGCTTCGCGTGCACGAGAGTTGGTAGCCACCGCGCCTTCTAAACCCTGGGGCCATTGCCATGAAATCCTCTAAACCCCTTGGTGGTTAACGCGATCTGGGATGCGAGCTGCTTCTCATCCCGCAAGCTGTTATGATAATCTGGCCCTGCAACACCATAACGAGTTAGTCCTTTGTAAAAACAACATAAAACCTTACCGCCCTGTCACAGTAAGCATCAGATGATTTTTAGTCCAATAAACAACTTTGAATGTACAACAATATAACCAGAGGTATTTCCGGTTTAGTGGGACGTGCACTGTAATATATGAACCCGGGGACCTGAATTCGATTCCGGGCTGTAGCTACATTGCTTAGTGGTATCTGAACCGGCCATGCCCCCCCCCCACCCCCTCAGCAATCCGCAATGACCACGCGAAGTTTGGTCAAATAACTCCCATTCCGAGCCGTGCGTGGGGAGAGGCATTCAATCAGCAATGGGTTGAGGCTGTAATTGTAAATTGATCGTGACGCGAGTTATTTTTTTGTCTAACTTCAGCCATGGGGAGGCGCTCATTCAACGTGACGCATGGGGTCTGTTCAGCACCCCGGACAGCGCCTGGGGCGCCTTCTCGCTATCGGACATCACGATCGGAGTCGTCTCACTCGCACCGCCTCCCTCATCCCCAACCCCTCTTGAAATCCCAACACGATTGGCCCACGAAGCGCGTTCGAACCAATGAACGTAAAGATCGCCGCCCGTGATCGCCTCCGTTATGCCTGATGACGTTTGTAAATAGACCCTAGCTGGGGAATACGTCTCCAGGCAACAGCACATTATGCGGCTTTACAGAAACCGGAGGCGTTATGCCCGTTAAGCTTAAGCGGTTTCTGCACATCCCCCACATGAATATCCGCACCCCCCCGCCCACCCCGTCGCCTGTGTGCTGAAGATGCAACTCAACGCGTGGACACACGACGAGGACCCATTCTGCTGTTAATCTTTGCGCACGCATGGCGGCGTAACGGAGATGACCGCAATGCAGTTGACGAGCGCGTGTTGTTGTGCGATAATGGTCCGTAACCCAGTAGCCATAGGAAACGTGGCTGCTCTATTTATTCCAACATGTCAACATCGTGTTGTCTTCTTGTTATCGGCATTTCCAAACGTATTTTCTAAGAGCAGTCTGTCACACGCGTTCGGAATGTAATAAGCACGCGCTTGTTACGTATTCCTAAAAGCGTATTCGGAACATTCGGATGGTAGCAGCGGTTATTTCACCGCGCTATGTAATCTCTGCGACCTAAATGCATTGTAGTTTTGGCCACGGCTAACATCAGTGGCGAGTGATATCTAAATTGGTTCTCCCCATCCACCGAGCTCACCAACCCTCACTGGCCGGCGTGGTAAAGCATGATAAACAAAACAAAAACTCATGGCCTACTCGGAGAGGGGGAGGGCCTTTATTTAACAGTAGATTGATACAGGGCTGTAGATTAAGGTATTTTTAGATTGTATCCAATGGGCTGGTGCAAACGAAGAAAGCTACGGCCCTGTATGGATTTGCTGGTTGGGGGTTCGGGCGGTGATTTCCCTGTGGCGTCACGGTTAGGTATTCCTATGACATTAACCTCCACAGCTGGCCTATAAGATCATGCGACAGGCATGTTTCGCTATTAACCGTGGCAGATACGATAGCCCTACTGATACACAGAAACAACAACCCGTATGCACAGCACGGTAGTCTTATAGGGCTGTAGGCGGTGGTGTTGAATGCGAGTACGGAACACGAGGGTGATGGGTGTAGTCAGACCACGCGTAATCGCGGTTTACACAGCGCACCAGGTAGACCCATGGGAATTCTTGGACAGGTTCCGATACGATTCGCGACTTATACTAGACCGGCCCTGGCTGAGCATGTACAGTGAGGGAAAAAAGTATTTGATCCCCTGCTGATTTTGTACGTTTGCCCACTGACAAAGAAATGATCGGTCTGTAATTTTAATAGTAGGTTTATTTGAACAGTGAGAGACAGAATAACAACAAGAAAATCAAGAAAAACGCATGTAAAAAATGTTATTAATTAATTTGCATTTTAATGAGGGAAATAAGTATTTGACCCCTCTGAAAAACATGACTGAGTACTTGGTGGCAAAACCCTTGTTAGCAATCACAGAGGTCAGACGTTTCTTGTAGTTGGCCACCAGGTTTGCACACATCTCAGGAGGGATTTTGTCCGACCCTTTGCAGATCTTCTCCAAGTCATTAAGGTTTCGAGGCTGACGTTTGGCAACTCGAACCTTCAGCTCCGTCCACAGATTTTCTATGGGATTAAGGTCTGGAGACTGGCTAGGCCACTCCAGGACCTTAATGTGCTTCTTATTGAGCCACTACTTTGTTGCCTTGGCCGTGTGTTTTGGGTCATTGTTATGCTGGAATACCCATCCACGACCCATTTTCAATGGCCTGGCTGAGCATGTATGTATATAACCAAGCGTTTTGCCAATGCTAAAGGAATCGTAGTGCACGACTTCCGCCTCTGCCGACATTTAAACCAACTTCTGGCCCAAGTGCTGTTGTTAGCTACGCCTATGAAGGCCGCAACTGCACGAGCGGGTGGTGTGGCCAGCATTAGGCTCGGCCGCCGCTATTTTTGCCAGTGCCGTTTACACACACCACACGAGGTACTAATTTCAAGCTATGTCTACCTAGGGGAGACCCAGGACAGTTTCGTATATTCACTCGCCACCAATTGTTATCCCTGGATTGGAATCCAACCCATATATTGCCATGTTAGTGCGGTGCTCACCGCTGCGCAAATTGTTCCCCACAGAGACCCCTTCTCCGCATAGTCCTTTCAGAGTCTTGAGACCGCTCCCCAAAGACAAAGACGTCCCGTACAAGCCCTAACAGGCAGGGCAAGTGCTAATCGGGAGCACATGTGAAGGCCGGCACGGCACAACGAGGGGGTGGGTGGTCAGCACCAAGCCCGGCCGCCCATGTCTCCCTATTAGCGATGTTTATACATTTTACCAGGCACTCATTTGAGATCGCCGGGTTCGTCGTACAGCGCACTAATCGCTACACTACCGCTCCCCATGTACACGCACACGTAGAGTGTACTAGGCGTCTTTGCCGATTGCCCCCAGCGAGGTGAACGCGAGGGGATCGTGGAGTCCGCGTGACGTCAGCACGTAGCAATGACGCTCGACGTCACGTCGCGCTGTTGTTCGGGGTGCGGAGCGCGCAGAATCGGCATTCGCGGGTGGACCACAGTCTTATTCAGCACATCATCACCACCACCAAGGTACGTCTCATCACGCCTAATATTCATATTATTCCGGTTGTTTCCGTTATTGGTGTTCACTCGAGTTTTTCCCAAATCGTGCGAGAGTGCCGGTGATGTGAATTGTTGCCGATGCCATCATTAATTGTAGTGACCGTCATCTATTAAATAAAGGCGATCGCGGAGTATCGGGACGCGCCTCCGCGGGCAAGCGTGACACAGTGTTTACCCGGACATCGCGACAGCAGTCGAAGCTGCTGCTGCGGATCCCGCCGCTGCTGCTGCAGCTGCTGACGATGCCGCATCAGCGCGGAGTTGGTGGAGCGTGTTTAGTCGCGTCTGTTCGGTAGATGGATCAGGCGCGCGGCACGAGCGTCGTGCCACACAGCTATCTCAACCGCACGGGCCCCTTCGCTGCGTCCAAAACAGCAAACGCATTCCTCAGCCGTCGAGGATGCGACATCGTCTACACGGGGTGGCGTGGGACAAGCCCGAGACGGCGATGTTCGCCGTCTCTGTCCGTCGCGTCGGTCGGAACGGTTCGGTGGTGGCTGTGGCTCGAGTCATTCCACGCGTTCATCGCACAGCGGCGTTAAATGAAGCGAGGTCCCTCTCCCTCCTCTCGCCCATCAGCAGCCTCTTCCTTTCCGCGGACTCGCTGCGCTCTCGTCCCGCATGCCGCTCGGAGTAAATGCAAACACACCCCGGCACCACTCGTCCGCTGCTGAGACGGATCGCGGTGTCCCGTTCTGCATGACCCCCCGCACGATTCCAGCGGAGGATGGAACGATAGTAGCAGGGGGGGAATGCGGGTTCTGGGGGGACGGTAGCGACAGCGGCGGTGATGTCCAAAAGGAGGGTCTGGTCGGTCGGTTGGATGGGCGTCCGTTGCGTCATTAAACTGATAATTACATCGAATGTCATCTACGCAGCGGGCTCTTGAGACGCACTGCCCGGGCGAGTAAGATGGAAGATTCGTGATCGTGAACATGACGCGCGCCCTGTTATCTGTTGGTTTGTGCGGATTAGGGGGTCACGGGTTACAGTTTTGCGTACATTGAACTGTTGTTGTATCTGTTGTTGTTTCTGCGCACGGGGCGTGTTGTTCACACGATGTCCGTCGTCCCGGTTGCGCCCCGCCGGGAGGATCACACAGAGAGGTTGACTCGCCCCCTCACGTTTGTTTTTGGGTATTCATGTGAAAGCTCAACAGAGACGGACGCTTTTGAAAACCGAGTCATTATTATTACGTAAATTACACATTCATCCGAGCAGACGTCCGTGGCTATTGCGCGTGAGCCGAGCGGTCGGTGATGTTCGGGTCGGGCGCGCTCGCCGCTGACGTGCGCCACACGCACGGTTCGATCTCAGCATCTGAACGCCGGCGACTCTTGCGGGGCGTTATGCACGCAGTTGGCCGCATTGGAAAGCTTTAGCAAGCTTTGTTGGAGGTGCACATATATAGGCGACGTTTCGAACAATGGCCCTTATTCATTGGAGAGGTATCTTTCTGCTATAATAATTAGATGTTTTTTTTCAATCCGCTGGTGGATAAAGGCCTCCCCTACGTGTAAATTACGTGCTATTGTTTGACCATACCTCACCGCGTTGGTCTGTGCGGGTTAGTGAAGTTGAGGGTGCAAGGGATGGGGTTATGAGTGGGGTAGGGCTCGTTCATCTGTCACTCGTCACTGATGTTGGCTGTGATTGAGAATCGAACTCGAGTAACGGGTTCGTAGTGCAGTGTGGGCGTCACTGCTCTACCCGAATACGAGAATAACTAATTAATCAATACGTGCATACGTGACATCTCGGCTCACCGCGTCTCATCTACAAACGAGATAATGAATTCCACAGAGAGACGATGATTAAAGAACACGGAATTGAATAGAACAGAGCAGAGAGATGCATCCGGGCGGCTATTCGGTGGTACCGAGATGACATGACGTCCACATCACTCCTATTCTCTCCTCTCCTTGAACGCAATTCTCTGGGGATGGAAGGGACATGGGCTTCAACAGTGAGGATACTGGAGTGGACTGGTGGCGCAGTAGTTATCGCATTGTGCTCTCAACCCAGCGCACGTGATTTCCATCCGCAGCTAACGTCAATGTCGAGCGATTATCTGAAATGGCGATGCACAACGCTCCCTTGCTTTCTTCGCCTAATGACACCGCAAATTACTCCATTAAAATTTACAAAGCAATTTTCGCCTGCAATTGAAAATAAACTTGGCAGAACCCACCTGAAAATAATAACTTGGCTCAGTGAGAGTTTGCCGTTGTAAACAAGTGTAAATAATAACCCTCATTAACTAGCGTGGTGAAGTATGATAAAAAAAACCCTCATGACCGATAAAGGTGTGGGGAGGCCTTCATTCATCCGGCATTGGATCGAGAAAGGCATATGAAATATCATCATGGTTATTTACAATGCGTTGCTCAGAAGAGGGAAAACCTCGTGGAGGCGGGGAAAGGATTTTCGAGCGCATTCCTAGAGGTTAATTGAACGCGGTCAGTGGTTCAAAAGCCCGTTTGTGTGAACTTTGCTTGAGTGGGGTAGACGGAGAGGAGGGAATGGCGGGGGGGGGGGGAGCTAATTTAAAATCACTGCTCGCTGCCTGTGACTTACGGCTAGAAATTGAGCGGTGCACGCTGTGCGACCTCATGAAGGGGAATCAACCAACACGCCCGTCCGTCCGTCCTTCTGTTGCTTTGCGATCTCACGATATTGTACAACTGAATTGAGAATAGTAAAAATAATAATAATATCACGGACAGCCCTCTGGTAATCCACTGCTGGATGATGGCCTCCCTGCGTCCGTGCCAGTCATGGGGGTTGCTATGCCGTACTTCACCACAAGAAAAACATATACCAGTTGACGTCGCGTACAATGAGCCTTTTTCACAGCACATAGAGGTATGTTGATTGTTTTGTTTGTTATTTATACCTCACCACGCTGGTCAGTGCGGGTTGGTGAAGGGAGAGTCGGGCACCAGTTCAGATGGCTCTTGCTTTCCCACTGATGTTAGGCATGGCCAGGTTCATAGAACAGTGCGCCTAATCACTGCGCCACCTCTCCAGCCTGAGACGCTCTACTAATACAAATGTCGTATAATGTGCACCAGTCTCTCTCCTCTGTGCTCGGATATCGGCTGCGCGTGTCTGATGTGTTGACGTGGGAGTAAAAAAAAATATTTACATATTCTACTGGCAGAGCGCACACGGAACTCGGCAGTCAATATCACATTGCGATTTCATCGCCAGTTTGACTTTGATGTGTCTTGGTGTTCCATGGATGCCTTAGCATTACGATCGAAACCGATATGGACTGTGCGCACACAAATACAAAGATACCCTCTATAGCCTTAACAGACTTTTGGGACAAGTGCTGTTTGCGAGCACCTATGATGGCCGGCACGGCACACGAGGGAGTGAGTAGCCAGCACCATGCCCGGCCACCTTTGTCTCTCTAGTGGCGATGTTTACACACCGCACCAGGTAGTCTTTTTTAGGCTAAGTCGATCTAAGGGAAGCCCAAGAAGGGTTCAGATAATCGTGACTGGTGTTGGCCGTAAGCTGGAATCGAACTCGGATCGCCAGATCTGTAGTGCAGTGTGCTCACCACTACACATCCACAGTACACACACGTAATGTATTTGGAGAGATAGTAGACTAATTCGAATTGCATTGAGTGCTCCCTTGCATGTCTATTTTCTGCTCGCGCTCCTATTCCTGCTACATGAAACAAAATTACTAAGGAATTGACAAAACATTTTAATCAGGGGGTTCTCTTGAAGTTTTCTGGCTCAATTAAGTCCCTCATGCGTACATTAAAGTAATTAAAAACTCAAACGTGTCCCTGTAAATATATACAATGAATGTGTTACGCGTTGCATTCAGGCAAATGTCGGCCGATGCTCAGCTTCATTGGCGGTCCTGAGTCAGGTGTCTAAACTCCATATTCCTATGGCAGGACAATTATGACATTATCCTAATTATTTGTAGACTTCCCTAAAATAGCTTTCCTCTCACAACATATTTTATAGAATTGACCAAATATTTCAATGCAGGATCCCCCAACCGAATGTCCAGAGACTCCTTGTGGCGCTGACGGTTACTCCGAGGGCATTATGAAGGTTGTCATTGCAAACGTTACTTAATAACGCTCAAACACATGGTGAGACACGACGAGGTAGGAAGGTGAAGTGGTCTTCTATGAAGCTCATCCGACCTGTGTCCGTATTGCTTGCTCACAGTCACAAGACATTGGCCATGGATGGCTATGTCTTCACCTTGTTATTTGCAAGAGGTTAGTCACAATACATTTCTAGTAACCCGTACAGATTAAGCAGTGGGACAGTGGTTATTTCAATGCAAAATAAAACCCAACGACCCGAGTTAGATTCATGGTAATTTTCGACCACCATCAGTGGCGAGTGACATTTAACAGGTCCGCACTTACCAAGCCACCCCACACTCGCCAAACCACCCCACACTCACCAAACCACCCCACACTCACCAAACCACCCCACACTCACCAAACCACCTCACACTAACCAAACCACCCCACACTCACCAAACCACCCCACACTCACCAAACCACCCCACACTAACCAAACCACCCCACACTCACCAATCCACCCCACACTCACCAAGCCACCCCACACTCACCAAGCCACCTCACCAAACCACCCCACACTCACCAAGCCACCCCACCTCACCAAACCACCCCACACTCACCAAACCACCCCACCTCACCAAACCACCCCACACTCACCAAACCACCCCACACTCACCAAGCCACCCCACACTCACCAAACCACCCCACACTCACCAAGCCACCCCACCTCACCAAACCACCCCACACTCACCAAACCACCCCACACTCACCAAACCACCCCACCTCACCAAACCACCCCACACTCACCAAGCCACCCCACACTCACCAAACCACCCCACACTCACCAAGCCACCCCACACTCACCAAACCACCCCACACTCACCAAACCACCCCACAC